GGGCAAGAGGCTGTGTGCATCCCAGACAGATCTGCCTGTCCCCTGCAGGGCTGACACATACAAAAATTATTCATAGCTACAGCCAATTTAAAATCACCAGTTAACCCAACCCCACTAACTGCATGTTTTGGACTGTGGGAGGGAGCTGGCCTATTGGGAGAGAACCCATCTAAGCACGGGGAGAACGTGCAAACTCCAAACAGAGTGGATTTTCGCTTTCTGGTGCTAACGACCACACCAACATGCCATTCAATTTTAACCACTGTTGCCAATTAGTTTGATCACTCAGTTTTTTTGATCACCAATTTATACCTGGGCCTTACGATCACTTTCATTTGTAGGTGACAAGCCAACCGTACACTAGGTATTTCCTGTCGTGCTTAACGCTATGTTTCTTTTCATAATGTGAGAAAGTTTTCTCAGGGCTTTCACATTTCCTTTACATTTTGTGTGCATTTGTACAACCAGTTTCTCCACAGGTAGTACGAAACTCAGTGTTTGAAATGAAAATTTAATTCGAATGCACAGTAAATGGAGTATAAACGGGAGGCTGATCTCTTGTAGGTACCAAGATGGTGCTGGAGTGTCGAAGCTTCACTCTACCTCAACAGTTTACTCCAAAGTACAAAGAACCAGGGAACCACAACAGTGGGGAGGACATGGTGCGCACATGTAAGCTCAGCCACAAGTTTATTCTTTTTAAAATATGCAAAAACCACACTTAGCTGTGAGAATATTCTATATTAGATTCAGCCTCTTGTCTAAGTAGTGCATTACTTACATCTGATGTTGAGTACTACATTAATCCCAGTCAGGGCAGAATCTTATCTCGCACATCCCTCTGTCTGTGTGTGCAGATCTGTGGAGGTGCCAGTTTCTGCTGCCGTTGGTGTCTCTGGGTCTAGTGGTGTTGGCAGGTCTGACTGGATTCTGTGCCTGTCTGTGCCGAAGCCTCACACCAACTCTTGGAATAGGAGTGCTTCACATGCTGGCTGGTAGGAGCAATGTTGAAATCCATACATGTTGTCAGACTGCGCAATTAAACATTTTAGTAAGGGTTCAGGGATGTAAACTTTTACATCTGAAAGTAACTCTACAAACTT